GTAATTTGTGTTCGTTCAAGTTGAGGTACGTTTCTTGCATTATATTTTTTTATTTTCCTTTTCCACAGTTCACTCCGGATTAAATTTGTTTTACTTCTGCCTTTTCCTTTCCCTTTTGATTCATTGGTTCATTTTGATTTTCCTGAGTTCAGTAATTCAGATAAATATACAATATTTAAATACACACGCGCGCACGCACACACACACATATATAATACGTAAATAAACACACACATACACGCATATGTATACATAAGTGTATATGTGGGATATATATAAGGAAAAAAAAAAAATCTTTAAAATTACCTTCAAATATTACTCCATCTTAATTTGAAACCTAAACTTTAAATAAGGAAGATTACCCATCTAAAAATTACATTCATGAATTAGATTCAAACAGATAAAGATGTTACCTTAACAGTCATTTACAATATTAAAAGATTACTATCAGTAAACTTTTATATTTTTAAAACTTCTTTTAATGTGTTATCTATGAATGTGTTAATAAATAAAGTATTTAAGTTATATTAAATCCATAAGTTATTCGTAAAAGAGTTAAATATTTAAATTGCTAGCAAACATCAAATTAATTTCTTCGTGTTTTTTTTAACATTTAAATTTCTATCAAACATTAAAATTTATTTTTTACATAAATTGCTAAAAATATACCACCCCCTTCTTCCTACGTAAAACCTAATTTCACTTTACTTCCCCCTTCTTTCTTTTTTTTCTTTTTCTCTCTTCTCCCCTCCTATTTCAATATATCACTTCCGTTAAGTTAACCGTTTAAATAGGTCATGGTCTGGGCCCTCCTCCCCCAATACTAAGTATGATTGAAAGAAATATTAAAATAAACCCTCTCTAAACTCAACCATGTCTCTCCCACCACTCCTCGCTACCTTCTCTGTTAAATTACATAAACTTGATACTACCCGTCAAAAGTGTGAATTTTCATTTCATCTTTCATTTCATTTTTGGAAGTGTTATCTGATGATCCAGAGTCCCTTGAAAGGGCTCTGGTGAAATAAATTATTATAATGGAACCTTAAAGTGGTCTGTTTTCTTTATATATATATATATATATATATATATATATATATATATATATAACAAAATAATCACACATAGACTCAATCAGCAATATTAATGCATTAATATTGCTGATTGATTCTATGTGTGATTATTTCTTTGTATATAAATTATATGCTGCCTAGTGTTTTATGTTTTATATATATATATATATATATATATATATATATATATATATATATATATATATATTAAAAAATGATGAGCGTCTGTGTGTATATCTTTGTGTCTGTTTGTACATCTATAGGAAGCAAACTACTTCACAGATCTTCCTTAAATTTGGAACATAGGTAGTATAAAGGGGGTGTAATGAGCTATGTTTGATCTATTCTTCAGGAGAGCAAAGGGGGCAGAATCCCCCCACATTCACTGAAAATAAATTTACATCTATAAGACGAAAAAACTACTTCACCGATCTTCATTAAATTTGGAACATAGATAGTAGACATAAAAGGGGGTGCAATGAGCTATGTTGAATTTATTTTTAAGGGGAACAAAGAGGGCAGATCCGCCACCAAAAAATAAATGTACATCTATAGTATGGCAGAGCCTCCCCGAAAATAAATCTACATCTATAGAATGAAAAACTACTTCACCGATCTTCATTAAATTTAGAACATAGATAGTAGACATAAAAGGAGTGTAATGAGTTAGAGGAGAAATGTACTCAGGGATTCAAAAACTAATGGACAGATTTTTTGAAATTTGTAACAGAGATTTCCGGCATGAGAATGAATATAATATGCTATGTATAAATATATAATATTCTGATCAAAGGAGGTCCCAGGTGAGAGCATAACACCACTCAATTTTTCCCTTCGATTTAAATGAAATTTAAACTTAAGCAAATGACTTAATATAATACATATTTCTAAAATATCAGCCAATTTCAATAATACCAAGACACCCTAGTAGGGGTTAACCTCCCCCACTGTAATGAAACTTTTGGAAGCCCATAATTTGAATATCTGAACCTCTATTATCACGGGGTTTTTACCATGTTTTAGTCACCTTGATATGTTTTAAAGCCAACTCCCAAATTACTTATATAGAGTCTGAAGGGGTGGAGTAGAGGAAGCTTACCCCCCTAAAAATCTAAACAACACAACCTTTGGATACTTTCTTATGAAATTTAAAAGAGATTCTATGTATGACACCTAATAACATAGAATATATATATATTTAACTTATTTTAAAAAAAGGTGGGGTCCAGGGGTGCACAAATCCTTACCTCAAAAAAATTGTTTTCATAGATTTAAATGAAATTTAATTCATACCGTCTTTTTACATTCATTTCATTTTTTCATCCAAACATTTGATTGAGACCGTAAATATAGTCTCCTATAACCTACACAATAGCTACTGTTTCAGTCTTATATATTGATCCAATTAATATGGATCCTAGTGTAGTTTTTCTATAAATTTTATCTGTTTTGGACTAAGGAACCATCAAGTGAACCTAAACAACAGCTACAATTTAATTAATATGTAACTTTATAATTTATTTCAATTCTTGATAAAGTCGTTTATCCTATAATGAACAAACCTAAACAGCTCTATATCTTTCAGATATCTGTTCTGCCAGTTGGATCACTTAAGCGATCTCAGCGGAGGAAAAGAGAAAGAGCAGAAGAAACTGAAGATTAGCTGAGCAAGAGAAAGACAGAAGTCACAGAAAGACATGCAGCTTCACGAGCATCACAAAGAACAAGCGGATCTTAGACGAAGAGTTAGATGCTCATATGTTCAATACTCTTTAATCAATGTCTTTCAAAAACATAGTACAATTTTCGGAGCTTCTTCCAAACCCAGCCAACGACGATATATATATATATATATATATATATATATATATATATATATATATATATATACAAATCACAGACTAAGAAAAATGTACTTTTAAGAAAAAATGATAAAATCATATTTTTAAATCTACATATATTGCACTTTGCATCTCATGCTAAAAATGCGCAAATGACACTGTCTTCTTCATATTTCTCACATACCCACGAATATATATATATATATATATATATTTGCCCACACACATATATGGGTGAAATTTATAAAATCTTTCTATTAAAACTATTTTCATATATATATATATATATATATATATATATATATATATATATATATATATATATATATATATCTGCGTGTGTGAATGTACGTGCTTGTGGGAAAGGCTCAGTATTAAAACGGACACTGTATATACATGATAATCCAAAAGCACGATGGCTACCAATGTTACACTCATATCCTGTTCTTATCTACCTACCCATCTATCTCAATCTATTTTTATCTATCTCATTCTAATCTTATTTTCTCATTGTATTCTTATCTATCTATCTATCTATCTATCTATCTATGACACTACTGTGACACTGGCAGTATGAAATTGGGTTCATGTGAAAACCCGTATAAGAATTAAAGAATTGGGAGGGTAATAAAGTGAGCCTACAAAGGGTTCAGTTCGACATTCCAACCATCTGAAGAAGGCCGGAGCGCATAACGGCCGAAACGTTGTGATAAATATGGCGACAAAGATGAGGACAATAGTCCGAATAATGTAAATAATGTAATATTACCAAATAAGTCAACATCACCTGAGGACTTTCAACAGCAACAATTAAAATAGATTGCATATGTAACTAGAATGAAAATAGTAACAATATCGATATGATGACGTTCCGTAATACTACGAACCAAGGTTTAATATAGAAGCCCTCCATCAATAAAGGAAATAACAATGCGAGATGAGAAACTTATTTTATTGAAAAATAGTTTTAATAGAAAGATTTTATAACTTACAACCGATAGTAGCGTAGGCTGCTTGGTCAATGAATGTCGAATATTTTCACATAAGGAAAAGGCCAGTATTACCATTACCATTTTCATCTATCTATTTTTTTTATCTATCTATATATCATTCCACTCGAATCAATTGCATTCACTTACGTGCTAATACCCTTGAAAAATGTATAAATTCTCTTCTCCTCCTCCTCCTAGTTATGGGCAAAATAGCAGAACAGACCGGGTTCTATAGCCTTGGATGGCAACTGGTCTACCGTAGAAAGAAATGGCAACCTACTGCGGGAAAAATCTGTTTCGTCAGTCATATATCGAAAGATACATGATCACCTAAGCGTGTATCACTTTTGACACATAACTGATTGACTGACATATCATATTTAAACTTGATATATTTATGTAACACTTTATATTCTTAGCTATCGCAATCTTTTCTCGTCTCTGTCTCTGTCTGTCTCTCTCTCTCTCTATCTCATTCTTTGTCTTATCGATCAATCTATCACTATCTGTTTTTATAAATATAACAATTTCTTTTTATTCTTACCTATCTACAGATCTGTTCTTGTGGATTAGGGAAAGCTACGCGCAGTAAATACTTACGCATAAATATTGATTTATGTATATTTGCTGTATTCGCTGACCAAATCCCGAAAGACATAAAATAGAAATTTTGAACATTACTTAACCTGCTTATCTATTGCTAGATATCATTTGGCGAGCGGCAATTTAAAGAGTTTAACATTCGTAGCCATCGTGCACTTACATTAGCAAGTATACACAGTGCCCGTTTTAATACTGAGCTTTTCTCTCAAACACACACAAACACATATATATATATATATATATATATATATATATATATATATATATATTAGTGGGTATGTGAGAAATCTGAAGAAGACAGCGTAATTTGGGAAACAAAGTGCAATATATGTAAGTTTAAAAATATGATATGTATGCATATGTATTTATGTCTGTATATATATACATATATATAAACACACATACATATATATATATAGGTATATATATATATATATATATATATATATATATATATATATATATAGATAGATAGATAGATAAGAATATAATTAAATAGATAGATAGCTAAGAACAGAATGAGATAGATAGATACCTAAGAACAGAGATAGATAGATAGATAGATAGATAGATAGATAGATAGATAGATAGATAGATAGATAGATAGATAGATAGATAGATAGATATAATCGACCTCTCTTTACATTGATAAGCGGTAATGACAGCGGATTAAATTGATGTTAACGCTTGACTTTTCGTAGATCTACTAACACCATCAACAATTATTAATATATATATATATATATATATATATATATATATATATATATATATGTGTGTGTCTATCCATCGATCTGAAAGTCAGTCTAAGTTAAGCCCATAAATCTACCTGAGAGTATTCCTGTAGATAATACACTTTCCAGTATAACTTTCGTAAATTAAATCCCATGCTCTTGTCTTTTGCATCAGTATTTTTTTCAAACTAAATCAAAATAGAAAATCCATGTTGTGTCAATTAATAATGAATGACATGGTTATCTACTCTCAGCTCATATTTATTTATAGGCGATTATCATTCTGACTTTGTGAACTCAGTGACAGAAAGCGAAATAATCCAGAAATAAATTGCAACTCTGAAACTTAGCATATGGACATATTTATCCGCACTGAATATCATTCCCTTCTCAAGTATACAAGTACTTCTTGGAATCTGTTAGAAATTAAGGCGTTAAGGAATCAATGTTAAGAGAAATTATCTATACTTTTATTCTGCTTCTATATGAGTAAATGTCCTATTCTATCGGTAAGGCTTGCATTAGTTTATGACCAAAGACAACCCCTTAACTACTAGTTCCAATTAATTTTATAGTAAATTTTACAATGTATTTCTTTAGCATAAAAGTGTTACAATGTGTTTCTATAATAAATTTATTTGTAGTACCTCCAATAGTATACTAAGTTATGCTAGATTCCCTTGCGGAGTAACGGTCCACAGCCTCCCCACGCTAGTGTACTGTGTGCTTTCTCTAAGAAGTAGGTTTTTAAAGCTGTGATGTTTCCACAAACGGTTTTGAATTCAGAGTTGAACTTTTGCCAACCCAAACTACAGGACCCGATCTGCACTGTTGTTAACGTCTAGGTGGGAATAGTGAGAGAAAAGTGAATTCACATCTTTCCAAGAATATTTTTGTGGAAGCGGACGGAGGGACGCGGCTGGAATTTGATAAACTCACTTTCCTGTAACTGCGAAACCATTCTCACTACGAATCCATTATAGTAGTGAGGCATTTACCTTATAAATCAGTGATAATAACTTTAATTCTTCACATCATGTTGAAACACCGATTCTCATACCATCACCGAAGTCAAGGAACTTTGAGCAAGGTATGTACCAAAATGGGTGACCGTTTGAGAATATCAGATGCTGTAAGCTTGAATGTGCGGGTTATATAATGGATAACGGCTCAAAATTTCTAATCGGAGAGCCACGTTCCAATTCCATTTGGGTTCGTTATACTCACTTAAGCCCAAATATTCTTGGGAAAGGCAAGAATCCACCACGTTTTCCCCAACAATGAGTTAATTATTAAGGCTTTTATCACAAAAAAATCCTACAATGTAAAAATATTTTCTGGCTTTAAATTATCCTCAAATGGATGATAAGCCTGAGAAGACGAATTAATCAATAAATTTTAATTCTGAACACTGAAAACATTAACATGCTGATTTAAATTTTTACAATGCATTCTATAATAAAAGAATATTTACAATACTCTAATAAAATAATTTCGACATTTGTTTAATAAACCATATTTTCCCTCTAAATGTTAAACAGGTAAATGTCATTAGAAACGAAAAGAAGAAAAGTAAACTGCATTTTAATATCAGTCGTCTTATATGCTAAATATTTTCCTGACGGTTGAAAAGAATATTTCAGTCAACAGCAACATGCTTCTAATAAGAGTACTGAGAATACTATGGACGGAACATGAGAACAAAGAGGAAGTTTTAAGGAAAATGCAATAACCAAGACAAATCTAATTAGAATCAGAAAGTCAGTCAGTTATGCGCTATGCATGATACACACTTAAGCAATCATGTATCTTTCGAGGCAGATTTTTTCCCGCAGAGGTTTACCATTTCTTTCTTCGGTAGACCAGTTGCCATCCAATGCTATAGAACCCGATCTGTCCTCCTATTAACCATAGCTTAAGAAGAGGATTCATACATTTCCCAAGGGTATTAGCACGTAAGGGAATGTAATCGATTTGACTGGAATTCGAACTCTGCTCTCAGAGACAGATGGAATTTTTGAGACATAAAACGGAAAGAAGACTTTCGCAAAATTTAATAATCACATGGTATACTAAAGTCAGCATTTAAATGGATGACAAACATGTACATAGAATATAAGAGGACAAATACTGTTTATGATATCAACATGTGGAGAGCCGTGACTGGAGTGTCTTGGTGTAGTATATTGGGAATAAGGAGGAAAGATGTTTCCAATTCTCAGAACTTCAAACAAACGTTAAGGACTAAATAGAGCTAATATTAAAAGATTAACATTAAGTACGATTTAGAGCTATTATATTAAAACAAGTGTTTAGGACAAAATACGAGGTCTGTCTGAAATGTAACGGGACTAGTGTCACAAACAATTTATTTCAAACAACAAACTACATGGTTTCCCCTTTAAAGTAATCCCCCTCGAGTCTAATGCATTTTTATATCCTTCTCTGTCATGTTTCTATGCACTGAAGGAAGGGTTCTCCTTAGTTGATCCGATGTTACGGCCCTTTTGATGGCATGTACACATTCAAAACGGGTCTCCTTGACGATCCACTTGAGCTTGGGAGAAAGAAAAAGTTACACGGAGGAAGATCAGGTGAATTGAGGCTGTTCCAGTACGGTGAGTTACTTCTCGACCAGGAACTGCCGAATGCTCAGGGTGTTGCGGGCAGGTGCATTGTCGTAGTGAAGTAGCCACGATTTGTCCTGCCACAAAAGCACGTGAAATAAATGAAATGATTGCCAAAGGTTAAGATTACAGTTATATTACACCCAAGAAGCAATGTTAGATGATAATACAATCCGTTTAACCCTCTTTAGCCCCGTTATTTTTCAAATAAACCTCATATAAATATTATCTATCTATATAAAACAGAAGATATCTGTGTGTCAGTGTGTCTGTCTGTCTGTCTGTCTGTCTTTTTGATATCTTTTCACTCGAGATCCATCCAACCTATTTTGACCAAACTTGGCATATGCATTGTACAATGTAAGAGATAGGTTCTTAGTGTAAAATATCGATAATTTAAAAAAAATCAATAATCGATAAAGCCGATCAATAATCGATAAATGCAACTTCTTTTCGTCCGATATCGTTCAAACTCGGTATGTAGGTTACTTACATTATGACGTGCTCAACGATACCTCATTTCGTTTAGCGAAAAACCGCGAAAAACGAAAAATCGTTTTTTAATGAAAGTACTTTAAAGTAATTAAAGAAGATAGACTGATGCTGTTTTTGCTCCATTCTAACTGAATGCTTTTTTTCTGATCGACCAGCTCGTTATGGCTTCTAGTATTAAAATATATGTTCAGGAAATAGTCGAGATCTAATGTTAAAATACACACTAAAGAAACATAGCTATTATATTAAAATGAGCAGTAAGTATAAAATAAAGTTATTATAATTGAAACAAATGTTAAGAACAATAGAAGCATATTATCTTAAAAAGGGCGTTATGGTCAAAATAGAGTTATTATGTTAAAAGACATAGTAAGGAAAAATAGAACTGTTACAGTGAACTGGAAATTACTTTGTTGTTCAAATTTAACGTTATTACGCTGGCAAATATTTAGGGGAAAATAATTCCGACTCAGAACTAAGGGTTAGAGTTAGGGGTAGGGTTTTTAAATTGAGTTGAAATTATTTCCTAGTTGAAATTAGTTCCAAGTTGAAATTTCTTCTGTCACTCAAATATTTAGCTACTATGTAACGATTTGTAGTTATATTCTTATCGAGTAAGATATGATGTAGAAATTGGATCATTATAATATAGATAATCCAATGGAACAAATTGCAGGGACCTGGAAGCTTTTCTCTGCTAATAGTGTAATAAATGATGAAGTTTGCCTTTTTTTCTTTGGTGTTAAACGGTTTAATCGTACAGGCAGAAATGTCCAGATATTGGCTTCAAACATCTGCTGAGTTAGTGAATTTGCGTGATAGAAATTTGGCTGCTCGTTTCTTTTTGTTGTTTCCATTGTATTTGCGACAGAATCTTATTTAGCAAGTCGCAACTCAATTTGCCTCATGCAAGACTTGTTCTCTTTTGAGAAATAATGAAAGAAAGAATATAAACAGAATAAACGGAAGAAGAAGATAGCATTGAAAGAAATAAATGAAAATCAAATGATGGGAAAATAGTGTAAAGAAAGAATGCAAACAAAGAACGGAAAGAAACATTGTAAAGCGAGAAACTGAAAGAGCAAAGAAAGAATAAAAGAAACAAAAGGAAAAAAGAAAAAAAACGAATAGTGTAAAGAAAGAAAGTGAAGGAAAGAAAGAATGGGAGAAAGAATAAACAAGCAAACAAAAAAGAAAAGAAACATTGTGAGGAAAGGAGAGAAAACTGAAAAAAATGAAGAGAGAATCGTAGAAACAAAGGAAAACAGGGAGAAAATAGTGTAAAGAAAGAAATAAAGATGGAAAGAAAGAAAGAAAGAAAATAGCAAAGAAAAATAAACAAGCAAGCTAAAAAAAAAAAATATATATATATATATGGAAAGGAGATGAAACTGAAAGAAGAAAAAGAGAATCAAAGAAAAAAAAAGAAAAAGTGGAGGAAATAGTGAAAGAATGTGAAAGAGAAAAAGAAAGAGAAAAAGAAAGAAAGAAGGAAAGAGAAAAAGAAAGAAGGAAAGAGAAAAAGAAAGAAAGAAAGAGAAAAAGAAAGAAAGAAAGAGAAAAAGAAAGAAAGAAAGAAAGAAAGAAAGAAAGAAGAAAAATAAAGAAAGTAGGAAAAACGAAAGCAAAAGACTGTGCAACTTGATAAAACGAAATGGTTCGTGAAGAATGAGATAAAGGGAAAAGAAATAGTATAAAAAGAAAAGCAAAAAGAAAGATGGAAAAATGATAAACGAGGAAACAGAAGGGGGGGATAAGGAATGAGAGAAAATGGAGAAACACGAAGAAAAGTGTGAAAATAGAAAATGAGAAGATGTAAGAATGAAAAAAGGACGAAAGAGCGCGAGGAGAAAAGAAAGAAAGAAAGAAAGAAAGAAAGTATGAAAATGGACAAGGCAAAATAAAAGATAAAAAGTAAACAAAAAAAAAGTAATAATGTAATGAAATAAATAAATAAAACACAAACAGTGTAACGCAAGAAAACAGGTGCTGTGTAGAAAAATAAGAGAAAGAAAGAAAAAACAAATAATTCGTCCAATTTGTTTTTCTTTGCCTTCTCTAATAGTATAATGTGAAAATCGTTTAATACGAAAAACAAAATGAAAGAAATACAGATCTAAAGAAATAAAAAAGAAAGGAAGAAATAAAGAAATAAAGAGAGAAAATGGATAGAAGGAAGGAATGTAGAAAGGGAGAAATTAGGGGGGGAGGAGAAAAAGCAAAAGAAAGAAAATGAAATGACACAAAAACAAAAAAAAATAAAAATAAACACTCGACAAGAAAATGCATTATCTGAATCTGTCTTCGATTGCATTGGCCTCCCGAGGACCAGATTAAAGATTAATTGGTTTTAAATTCCTTGTCATGGATATTGGTTGTCGGCTATGCATTAAACGAAGGGATTAAGTGACGAATTTTATCGACCATCTAAAAAGAAAGCATGACTGACCCAAACTACTGCAACAAAACTTATGTATGACTGATTCTGTTTTTTCTTCACGAGAAAAATACGAAAAGCACAAGAAAGTTTTCAGAAGTTGATATACTTTGTATAATTGTCATTAAACTAAAAGGAAAAGACATAGAAAAGTAATTACCGTATCTGACAGCATATAAGACGCACTGGTATATAAGGCGCATCTCAATTTCAGCGCGGAAAATCAGGAAAAAATTAGTAATTAGTAAAATTATTAGTAAATGGTATTTTTGTTAAACAAGCCATGATTACAATTAAACGAAAAATAATAGGAAAAATAGGACACGAGCTTATAAAACTTAATTATATCCAAAGGTAAGAAAACAAAATAAAAATCAAGCAATTATTATAATTGAGCAAATCAGTACTGATACCATTAAAATTTTATTCATCTTCAAATCCATAAAATTAATTTTCAGTACTTTGTCATCATCGTTAAATAATGCGTCTTCTTCCGTTCCATTGAGACTATTGCTACTGTCACACTTTTTAAAAGATTTCACAACAATTTCTGGTCTAATATTATTCCAAGCTTGCTTTATCCATTCGCAGACTTGTACAATGCTAGGTCTTTTATTCTCCTGTAAGGTCTTGATCAGGCATTGCTATCCAAGTATTCCATTGCTCCTTCATGCTTAAATCTAAGCTAATAGGAGTTTCCAGGTAGCTAATTTCGGCTGTCTATCACGAATTTTAAACCTATATATGAAGTATAAGACGCAGGGGAATTTTAAGATATTTTTAGTTAAAAAATGCGCCTTATATGCCGTCAAATTCGGCATTTTTTGGAATTACTCTTTCACTAGCTTCTTTGGCTTTTTTTTAGTAAATTATAAAAATGACATCTTAACCTCTAGGGGAGGGACCATGGATTAATAGATAGCAGCTCGGATTGAGGAATCAGAGAACCCAATTCGAATTCCTTTCGAATCCATTACATTCACTTTCGAAAGATATGAATTCTTCTCTTCTCTCCCCAGCTATGGGTAAATAGCAGGACAAACCGAGGTCTATAGTCTTGGATGGCAACTGGTCTACCCCAGAAAGAAACAGCAACCTACTGCGGGGAAAAAATCTGCCTCGTCAGTCATGTATCGAAAGATACATGATCGCCTAAGCGTGTATCACGCATGGCACATAACTGAACCTTTTTGTGTTCTGGTGTGTTTGCAAAACCTAACAAAAATCAGTATAAATTGTATTTTTACACGATTTGCGAGCACATATTTAATCTTGTTGCTCTTTATTATCGATGAAAATAAGCAAAATCAATGCTCGACTGGTATATAAAAAATGTCTCAAATATTTCACTAGTGGGAAAAATGGCTTTTACAATTTGTTTTCATTTTCTTTCTCTCGTGGTATAATGTGAAAAGGATATAATGTGAAAATGATATAATATGAAAGGCAAAAAGAATGAATGAAAGAAAGAAAAAATAATTGTAACGAGGAAATGGATAACTTTTAACAGTGGAACAATTTTTTTAACATTTTCGTTAACGAGATTTTAGTTCTATGAGTGTCTAAACTATTTTTAAAATGTTTCTTCTAATGGAAACATTATTTGTATTACCAATATTGGTACTACCACATAATCATGAGCAGAGATTCTAAACAATATCTTTATTAATCTGTGGCATCAATTTCTCAGAGTAAATTCAATGGATGATGGCAGTCTGAGCTTAATTTTTGCGACTGTGGCTCCCTTTGTTCTGGAAAAGTACTTTTAAATTGGATCTAATTTGCCCGAGTCAATAATTAATCCAATTAAGTGTGATTAAGTATAGATATATTGATCACACACACATACACGTGTGTGTGTGTAAGTAAATATATATATATAGCTATAAGCAAGATGAATTTACTATAAGAAAATCATTAAACACCATATTTCTGCGGTAACTCCCGGAAAACATAAAACGTTCATATTATAAAAAAATGGAAGACCGCAAACCTCGTCGTCACAAACCGAAATAACCCCATCAAAACTAAACTAGCAGTGACCAATATAGTCTACCAATTCTATTGCCCTGTACAAGACTGTGTTACTTGTCAAAAAACAATGACCTATATCGGACACCCCCTACCTCATTGAGTAGACGTCTTACATGCCACCTGTAGCAGCGGAGTGCAATTCATACACATTTTTTTTTAACTCATAACTTCCTCGAACCTTTAATGAAAATTCTAGTGGATAATACAATAATCCTTTTCACGTCAAACAGTCATACACAGCTCGTCATTAGGGAGCCACTGCTTACTAAACTTTATTCCTCCCACACTATCAATCTCACACTGCTTAGCAGCGGAGATGGCTTGTTCAAAATGTTCTAAAAATAGAAGTCTTGCCTCGGTCAGCTTGCCGCGCATAGCACACGAACCGCTCGAAATCCACACTGTAAAATTATTATCTAGCAGCCATACACAGAATTTCAACATTTTTACAGAACACATCCTTGATAATGGCTAGAGAAGTAGCAGAAATTATAATTTGGACAATTCCTATATTCTTTAACCTTCGAAAAACGGAAAAATGTTAGATTGCTGGAAAAAGTCAATAAAAATTAATTAAATCTTCTTTATTATTAGATTAAAACAAAAACATATTAAAAATCGCTGCACAATAGCTTTCATCTTTCAGTACTAGAATTGTACTTCTTCAGTCGATGGTAAATGACTGGTGATTAAAATATTTTTAAATTTCAAAAACAGAATACCCCCTCTTTTTTCCGAAAGAGAATAGAAAAACAATAATTATTACTTACAGATTTTGGGAATCTATTATTTAGATAATTTATTCTAATTTCAAATTGTTTTGTCTTAAATCCCCCATCACTTAATGATATAAAATCCTATTAAAACATTTATGTTGTTGGTATAGTTTGGTATACCCTAGCAGGAACCTAAATTCATTTTCATACAACTAAAGGCTTTGGTCATAAACAAACTCCATTCTGGCCCATTTTCCTTTAGAGAGATATTTCACCCACCCCCTTGTCACCAACCCAGGCTCCTTATCTAAAGGAGGTGTCCTTTTGAGTAGGCTTGTACCTTCTCCCCAAATGCTATCCAAACTAAATTCAAAATCCCTGATTCTGAGACAGTCAATCTAGGGCTGAAGAAGACTGGCATAAGATTGTGCCGATTTGAAATAGACTATACCCATATGAGGTAATCTGGGGATTTTTTGCTGTATAATATATATATATATATATATATATATATATATATATATATATATATATATATATATATTTTATATATATGTTTTGTGTGTGTGTTTGTTATTATACAAAAATGAGTAGGAATTTATTTTCTGTAATTAGCCAATAAATAGTATCAATTTAAAAATTTAAGAATACTAATTGAAGTGAAATAAAACAGAAATCGATGTCAGTTTTTGAAAATCAAGTAAATAAGCAAAACATACAATAGATCTGTTTCTTTGTTGCATGCTGTTAAGGTGAACTACCTACATGGAAATGAACTCTTCCTCTTTCATAAATACCAACCTGCGAGACTTCCTGAGGAATTACTCGAGACGCATTTCTGTGACTGTTCGCAGCTGCTGTCGAACTCTCTGCCTTGGGCAGAGAGGAACACGGACGAGACTCTGCCGAACGGCAGAGCCTTGTCTGGGGAGGTAAACAGACCGAAACCCGTTTATGCGGGTTCTACGGGGATTTTTTTGGTCGAGCTTAAGGGCTCGGAGGACTCACGTTAAACTAGGCCTTGTGCCACATATATCCCTCGTTGGGGGCTGTTAAATATTGTCAGTCGAGACGCAGTGTAACCTAACAGTGCGGACGGACATTTCTATCTGTTGACTAATAGCACTCTTATGTTGTATATATGTTCTGTTATTTCAATACACTTGTTCAACCTACCTTTTTCTTTCCGTGTCTTTCTTTCTGGCCCCTGACAGGCAACAACACTTACCTAAAATGAATCAACTCTTTTCACCGCAGGGGATAAAGTTAGCTATGTACTTCGCGTATGATTCAACCTACACGCTTTTAATTACTGTGTGACAATTCTCTAGACTAAAGCCTGCGTTCACTTTGTGTTCGTATCAGAATTTTATTCTCCTTTGGGTTATAATTCTCTTTTCTTTCTAGAAAGTAATTCATTCGGCAAACGAATATAATGTTGGTTTGTTTAACATTCGGAAATCAAAGAGCAAAGTTTTTGAATGCAGATACAATACAGGTTACAGTTTTTCTTTATTGCTTTTCCTTTTATTAATATTTACTACGCGTCGTCGTTAAAGTGTTTCAGTTCTACGACACCAGGAAAAGAAAAATGCAGACAAAGAACTTCCAGTGTGAGAAATATCGATCTGATACATTTGACGTCTAATTACAGGTACTACCATTAACAACTCCAAGAGACAAATTGGCTACTAAATACTTCGAACCATCGATTCTTCGGTTATTATAAAGGATTCCTCTGGATATCAAATCTGCAGCTCTTAATTCTTATGGCTAAAAGATTCCGTCGTTTATACGTAGTTTCTTAATTCTCGAGAGTTGGGCGTGTCCCGTCATAACATACGTCAGCGAATCTTTCACTAACTACCAGTTGATAAATTAGATTTGATGTCCGAAGTATTGAATTAAAATATCGGTTGGCGAATATTTCCCTTGACCTAAAAACGGAATTTTTGGATAACACTCTATCAGTTGGGTCAGTTTGGGTCTTCTGTTTCATTTTACTTGATCGGGAAATACTGCTTTTTTTTCCAACAATCCTAATTTGCGGTCTATTGTTTTGGGAAGAAAAATCTTCCTTCACAACCTCATACTTATTGTTTAAAATATTAAAATATTTAATTCGTGATCCCTTTTCAAACACTTTATCTGAGTATAAACAAAGTTATTTAACCGGTGCAAAACGGCTTTTCTGATATTAGCTTGTTAAGATTTAATTATCATTAAATCGGAGTGATGTCTTTCCTCGTAACCACAAATGTTCGAATGATGTTCGTTAAATCTTCGTTGTAGAATATTTAATCGACAACGGCAATAGAAGCATAATAATTCTCCACAAGTAAAGCTTCTTCCGGTTGGATGAGTTTATAAAGCCGAATACATAAGTGTTCTTTATCATTTGATAAGATAATAAAGCCGAATAAATATACCATAGGTTATCAACATCGGCACTTCCTCAAATCAGATCAGGAATCGTTGGGAGGACATGAACACTGCAGAGATAAATGATATCAAAGTAATTCACTTGGTAGTTGTCGAAAGAAGATTTGTAAAAGTCATAGATTAAAGTCAAGTAAAACAAAAATGTCTTCATATCTATTGTCTTACTTTTGGTGCTGGCGGTTACAGCTTCAAATGTAAAATGTCGAGCGCTGTTTCACATGTTCGCAAATATGTTTTAAGTAAAATAATTTGATGAATGTTTAAATGCTTGTCATCGAAATTCATTGCTGTTTTTGCATGCAGGAAATTGTGAACAATGAATGTGAATGGCTTATTTCCTGCCAGTTTAACAATATTAAACAAGCTTATTTAATGTATGCCACACATTAATTGGTGACCACAGAATTATGTTCACCCACTCCCTCTGTTTTGGTTTTTCCTTTACTAATTTTTCCAGGCACCATTCACTCAAGATACACATTAGTGAACCGTTCCCAAATATTTTCGAGTATTTGTTACGACTCGTATCAAAGAGTGAAGGCAAATTGGTTATATTTCCAAGAGTAGTTATTCTTTATGTGTCTATCGACTTATCATCTGTGTTGATGCGCATTGTATGGTTTTGGAATGTTTCAGTTGGAGCTGAAAGATTATTTTTTAGTTCATTCCACGAAATGTAAACCCTATAAAACAATATATATATATATATATATATATATATATATATATATATATATATATATATATATATATAATAAATCTTCATCTTAGTGTAGATTGGAACTCTTGTATTTAAGATAGAATTATGTTTAGAAAAAACAGCCCCCCAAGGATTATTCGGTGTTTTGCTGAAAACTGTGTTTTTGAGATGTTAAGTTATTGTTATGCATTAATTATTGTCAATGATGCCGTCTTCATAAAGTTTAATTCAAAGCCTATTTATTTTTGTTTTATAAAAAATTCGGTTAAAAAATTGGGGGAGGTCATTTAGCGCGCTGTTTGTCACATAATAGATTTGAGGTTATTTGTTCCCCAGTAGAGGAATCGCTCTCTTTACACTACTGTTCAGTCTTGGAAATTTATAGAAAAAAATCCTATTTTTAACACAGTTACAATAGCCACATACATACCATAGTAAAACCGGCCCGAACTTTATTTTCTACCCAATAACAGAAAATATTACAAATATGCCAAAAAAGATTCCATAATACAACACCCCCTCGCCTTTTAAATCAAATTGTTTATTGCTTAAAAATTAACATCAGTATGTGAAATATTTGACCAAAGAAATTCTATTTTTCTCGAGCCTAATTTCTGGGAAAAATTCTTATAAAATCCACAGGCTTCGACTTTCAAAAAGCAGAGATTCAGCTGTCTCCAATCCAAATCCAGAGGCTACATAGACTCTGCACAGAGCTTGCTGAAAGAAGACTTGTATCGTCGGCTACAAACAAATCATCTGCAATAAAAGCAGCAGAGAGGGCCAGTGAATCTTCCCTAATGATAAAAGTCTTTCAAACAACCCAAAGATATTAACTCAACCAGACTATTTTAATATTTTAAACTCATTTGAATTCATGCAAGTATGTTCGTAAATACAAATGACTTATTTAGCGTGCAGACGCATGTCTTCATTTTTATTTCATTATTTTTTGGAATAAGAACGTTCGGATTTTTAACATAAAATATCTGGATAACCGAATTTCCTACAAATTAAGGATGACAATGCAACAGAAAAGAGCATGACAAATATCATGTCACAAGCTTTTTGACTGAAGCAAAACTAATAATAATATCAGTTTTTAGAGAAATGCCAGAACCATAAAATACAGACTAGAGAGGATTAATGTAACCGTTTCTACTTAGTAGATTGTACTAATAATATTTTCACTGATGAGCAACTAAGATATTTTACACACTATACCTATTCGGATAAGTTATTTCGTATTTTTTAATCATTTTACCCCAAGCAAGGCAATAATGCCACTAAGATGAAAGAGGTTGCTGAGAATGAAATATACTGAGAAAACATTATTCAGCAGAAAAGTCAAGAAAAAAACAAGATTAAAAAAAAAAAAAAACAGAAGGTGGCGATTGACGTTGCATTTAATTTTTTGAAGATCGTAGTTTGACGGGTGCATACAGCCACATCACCTTGAAACACCAGTTCTCGTAACATCAGCGAAATTAAGCAACGTTGAGCCTGGACAGCACCTAAATTGGATGACCGCTTGGTTATACTAAGTGATGTAAACTTGGATGTATGGGTTGTGTAACAGATAATGTTTCGGAATTTTTAATCGGAGAGCCGAGTTCCAATTCCTGTTGGGGTCGTTATATTCACTTACATTCAAATACCCTTCGGAAATGAATGAATCCACCTCTTCTCCCTCCGCCACCAACAATGTGTTAAATATTAAGACTTGTATCACTAAACCATTATTATCTCCAATAAACAATTCTCAATATGTAAAATTATTTTCTGCTTTTAAAAACCTGCAAAAGTTTGATAAGCTGTAGAAAACGAATCAATTAATATGTAGTTGACAGGAAAGCAAGAAGCCGGAAGATAGTTCTACAGGAGAAATGTAAGCTTAAAATCCCTTTCATTTATTCATTATTTAATAAAAGAACGATCTACTGAAATTTTCCTGCTCTGCCTTTTATCTAATCAAACATAAAATGTGTCCAGAAGCGGAAAGAGACAAAACACATCCCTGTTTAATTCTTAAGTGTCGCTGTTATCAAAGCTTCTATTTATCAGTCTATTCATTGGATACTTCCCACGCATTCCGTTTCCAAGTGTGAATTCTATCACTTAATCAATTACAGTATTATTTCACTACCACAACCAACAACCCCACCTGACACAAGGGAAGAGAATCGACATTTGAAATGTTACTGGGTCGATTGGATCGTGTCCATTGTTAGAACTGCTGATTATTACATTCTTGCAATGCATCGTCCAATCAGTAGAAAAAATTGATGAATATTTAAAAACTAAAAGCTTTGTCGTGTTGCCGGGACAAATATAGCAAAGTCTTAGTTAAGAAGATAACCCTGAAACTATTTAAGACCTTTTTTTCTCACCTGGAGCACTGAATATATAGAAAAGAAATACATGGAGCTCTTTTTCATTATTAGTTTTCTCTAAGTTAATGTTCATAAGTTTAAAGTAAGGTAGCCTCAATATCTTGAAGTGAAAGAGATATGGTTATATTAATGGCTGCTAAGAATGCAAAAGGTATTACAAATGAAAAAAGTTTCAAGGAAAATAGGGGCAGTTATAGTTACAATCAGAAAAGAGACACTATTTCTGGAAAATAAGGAAATAGCACCTACAGAATTTAATAGTGGTGGGTTATGCTAAAAGCAAGAGGATTTGATTTTTGACTTGGATTTGGTTTTTACGGCTTATCAACTCTTTGCGGGTTAAAATCGAAACATATTTTGGATTGTAAGAGCGAATATTGCATTAACATTTTATTTTGAGAATAAAAATGATTTTTGCATATACAATTTAAAAAAAAGAAAAGCAAAACCTACACAATGTGTTTTTAAAAAAGAAAAGAAAAATAGTTATGGTAAAATGTTATTGATTAGCACTACAAGGAACAACAAGCTGTGTAAAGCTGTGATTGACCACGCCAAGAAAAGGTATGGCACGTGGAAGAATATATTTACACCTGTCTACCAAAACGAATAAATTATAGCAAAATTACTGTTACAGTAATAGAATTGAGATGAAAGAATACACCAGACACATGACCTGGCAAATTTAACTGCAAGAGTGACTGCATCCTAAAAGAATCTGCTACAGAGAACGCTTTTCCATGTTAGAATAAAGTGGTCTGAGACCAAATGAAGCACATATGAAGAAGAAAGAGAAACGTGTAAACAGTGACAACGAGGACATTTCAACAAACTGAACATCCACTGGGCAACAGAAAAATATATGAAATTGTGAAAAGTTCTGAACACACACATCCTGAAAGAACCTAACACATTTTTTAATTATTTAACTCCAAGCAAGCAATAAATTCACTATCGTAAACTATATTTAGTTAGAAGTATTCACTACTATTTTCCTAATAGTTTAGTCTTCAAGGTCAGTATACGTTTGGCTTCCAGCTGTACTATTTATATTGGAGATTTTCATATGAATACAAAATTATCCCCTACTTTTTTTGACAAT